AAAACTTGTCTGTAGGGGACTGTTCCTCTTTCAGAAAGGATGTGATGAGTCTTGACAACAGTGGCCGTTGACTGTTCCTGTCACACTTGCATCCAGGAAGTGTTTGATATTAATGAACAGAAGCAGATAGAGCACCTATCACAGGTGAAATGGAAATTGTCCAGACAGTGCTATGAACTCTGTGTAGATACTACTGGAATTCCTTTTTTTTTGCTGCTGTATTGAAGAAAGCTTTTCTCAGCAGCAGATTTGAGTCACTTGCTTCCTGACTCCCTTCCCTCTGGTGCTAGTACAGGGTGTCTCAAGTAGCTGGAAAATTACAGGTTGCATTTCTACTCCTCCATGGACATCAGTATCTTGGAGTAGTCTATTGCAAATGTCATCCTTGATAAAAAGCCAAAATAAACTATAAAAAACGTAGCTGAATAAATTTCACAGGAGTTCCTGCAACAACTGAAATTTTTCAAGACCCATTTTGTTTACTTATATCTTAAATGAACTTTCATGATACTTCATCTTAAATGAACTTGGTGTAGGTATGGTTTGGGGCAAGTTTATAAAGCATCATTATGGATTTCTTGTATCTCAGTTCTCTGAATCTTTTCTAGGCTGTTCCTCCTAAATTCCAGCAGTTAAGTGATATAGCACCACTTATTACTTTTTTAGAAGTATAATCTATATTTAGCCTTGCTCCCTAATTCAAGCTGCCTTCTGAACCTAATGAAAGATTTAAATCTGGAAGCTCTTTAGCTTTTAGCACAAGAATTTGACTACAAATAAAAATGTCAGTGAAACATTCAGTTTCACTTTGATTCTGCTTGTATGTTTATGTGCCTTGCAGATATGTATGTTTGATTGTTATGTGTGTTTGTGTACTTATATACCCTTGTTATTGGATGGGCATGAAAATAAACTGAGTTCATAATAGCATGTATATGAAAGCATGTGTGATCACATTAAGGATTCAGACATGAAAACACTACTTTGGGTGCTCATAATTTATGATAAGGCCAAATACACAGTGCCAATTTGCTTAGCACTTGCTTCATTGCACAGGAGATGGTTCCTTTCCTCTAAACCAGTTTTGAAGGGCAGGCTTTTCTGAAATTCAGACCATCTTATAATGTGTGATATGTTCAAAATCAGTAGTCCTTTAAGTGTTGAAATGAATTCTGGGAAATGCTTTAAGACTGACATCTTTGCATGAGAAAGATGCAGAATACTGTCCACACTTTTTTTTTTGTCCTTAGAATCTACTAGCCGCAAGGCAGAATGGCCTATTATTGAGAGGGCTAAAAATCCCTTTGTGTGCCCTTCCCCTAGTAAACCTGTGCTCGTGCTGTTTGGGTACTGACTGTTAAGGTGTGCTAGCTCTGGTATTGTTTAAATTATTTGGTGCTCTGTATTTCTTGGGTATTTAAAACATCAGTGAGGGATGAAAGACAATAATCTTTCTCCCTTGTCTGCAGTCTGTTGGGTGAGTTATTGTCTTCTGAACAATAGAGCAAACGCTACAATGGTCTCCTCCCCCCGAAATACAGAACATTGTGTGTGTGTCAGCGAGCCTGGCGCTGCACCCACCGTATTTTTCAGGCCCAGGGCCAATGCTTTCAAAATGCTGCAGTCGCAGTTAGCGTCAGGGTTCCTGCTCTGCAGGAAAAACAAACCACCCTCCCTCTGGAGTCATGGGACGTCGGCTGAGTAAGGCTGGAGTACAGCTGAAAGAAGCCATTCCCGAGCTGATCTTTGCGGCATGAAGAGCCGCATGCAGGATGTGGAAAGGCAAGAGAGTTTTTTTTGGGCAAGAACAGCGGAGCCTGCATATATGTGGCATTACGGAGCGGGACTCTTGGATCTGACTTCTGGGAAAATTATCTATTGTCTTTTACCCTGTTGTGTGCTGAGGCAGCCCTGGAGGCCTTCCTCTGCGCGGGCGCTGCCCTCGTGTGGCTCTGGGATGGGAAATGTGTGGAGCCATTGCGCACCCATCATCCAGCGCAGCAAAAGTGTGTGCTGGGAGCGTCTGTCAACTAGCCGGTGTGTGTCCTGGCCAGTATATGGAAGTGTGAGCTGCTGTAAGGGGTTGTCCGTAAGCAGGCGCTCTCCTTTAGTACTTATTTAAATTAAACTTAAACTGAGATGGGGAATAAATGGTAAAAGTGCTATCAGCAAAATCTCATTTCCTTGACTTGTTCTTCCTAGGTCTCCTCTGTGTGAGTACAAGAGAACTTCAGAGGGTACTTATTCTTCGTTGAATAATAAAGTACTTAACCTAGAAGTGGCTTGGATATGTTCTCTGGTTCCTTTTCCTTTCTCAGGCATATATTGTAAATTCCAGCACATATCTGAAGGTAGATTTCAATTTCATTGCTGCTTGCTATGGTGAGATCCCACCCAAACTACTGAAAGGTGTGAGGTTTGCCTTTGGTTTTTGCATGGGTAATTTCCATAACTGGCACCCTATGTTAGGTACATCTATGAAGCTGTGTTTTGAGCTTCCTTTTGACTTTGCGCAGGTGTAGGTGACTGGAAAGAAAATAGAGGGTTTGGTCTAAAACACCTGCAAAGTATACAGACTTCTTGTGAGTTGGTGGGCATTATGAAAGAACTAACAAGGACTAAAGACACAAGTTGGGGTTTTTTTTCAGGTAAGACAGACATGTCATGGAAAAGTACATTGTGCGTGACAACCTAGTTAGCAGTTCAATGATGAACCAGCTTCAAATTATCTCTGATTGCACATATCTTTGAAAAAACAAAGGGTGCTTTGGAAATTTGCAGTCACTGTCTCACTGGATGTCTCCCTGATCTTACTCCCATTTAGAAAATGAGCTGATAGGCACAGGGCTCTTTCTCAAATCTAGAACATGTTCGCTGGGGACAATAAGAACAAAGCAAGGTGTCCAAGCCAGAGAGGAATGAAAAATGGTGTTTGTTATACTCCCTCAAAAGGTGTTTTTATAATCCAAATTAAAGCTTTTAATGTAAAACTACATTTTAAAATGTAGAATACCCTGGGAGGTGTGCACAAAACCTCAGTGTTCTGCTGGCACAGGACTTTGTAAATGTTGCAAATGTTATGTGAATGCTCACTATTGCGGTGCTTAAATTAAACTTATTGATCAGTCATCTAGCGAGCGTCAGCGTGTTAATGAAGGCAGCCCGCAGCAATGTGGGCTGTAGGAGAAAGCAGGCGTTTATCTTAGGCGGAATGAATAATTGTATTTGGCAGATGGAGCTTTGAGACCAGTGAATCCAGTGATAAACTGGATTAATTTTCCCTTTAAAGAAAGCAGCTAATGTGGCTGAAAAGGAGCTTTCACTCTCGTCGATTCATGCAGAGATCCATGCTGGGCAGGAGAGCTTAATCCTTTGCAAGACTCCACCTGTCTTAAAATTCTAGGTGTTTTATATATGCATGTGCACATCATAGATGATACCTTTTATAGAAGTGCTCAGCAAGTATTGATTAAATAACACACGCTCGGGAGCTGAGGGGGGGTAATGTTAACTCAGAGGCAGATCTGAGAACGGGAGCAGGAAGAGAATGAATTTTCCAAAACCAGAGTTGGTCCTGAAGATACAGAAAAAGCTGAGAGAGGTGTCATGTGGGACATAATTTATTCTGGCTTTTTTTTTTTCCTCCACTTAAAGGTAAAGCAAAGGTTAAAGTTCTACTGTTTAAATACAAGTATAGGAATAAATTTAGCCTATGTAACTAGAGCTTCTTATGCTCTTGCTAGTAATCTCGCTGTGTAATCACTGGATTGTGTGTTCCATCACACGTGACTTCCTAGTACTGTAGCCTCTCACAGTTTTCATCAGTTTCACAGTAATTAGCCCAAGAAGCAAGGTATTTCATCTCACTTCATTTCACAGGGGAAAAGAAAAAGTGCTTTCAGGCTTTCTTCTTGCTTAGCAAAAATTAATAACTCAACTGCACTCAGAAGATTCATACGCGAAAGGCAGATGGAATTTGTGTCCCAGAAATCCCCATGGAAACTTGGTTGGAAAATTTTTATTTGATGTCATAGAAGACAAAGTCAGGGGTCCCTGGCCTAAATGCCTGTAATATTCCATACCTCTCGTCTTTTGGGTCAGTTTTAATTGAGTTTGAATTTACCATGATGCCTCCATGTGTTATCAAAAGTTGGAGATGGGCGAAGCTAAGAATCGACCCCAATTTTGTTCAATTTTAACAGGGATGCAGAGGATAGAAAGAAACTCTGAAAGAAAGCACGAGTTTCACAGCGAGTACCGCAGTGCTGGTGGAACATCATGTTTTTCTGCCCTGCGCCGTCTCCTGGTCCAAGTTTTCAGGTTTTACAGGCTAACATTTAAAAGGCTCTGCTTCCCTCTAGTGGCTCAGCTTGGCAATTTCTTTCTTTTTTTTCTTTTTTTTTTTAAATCCTGACAAATAGTTTTTGACAACTGGGTTGGTTTTTTTTTTTGGATGATGCTGTTCAAAGACACTTCACTAGCCTACTTCTACCATACCTTTCTTTGGGTTAACCCTCTTGTTTCCAGGCTGGTCTCTTATTTCCAGTGCTGAAATGCACGCAATGAACGTTATTCAGTGCTAGGGAAGAGACTCCAAGCCTTGTCAGGCTGACCTAGGAAGAAAGCGGTGGGCTCTGAAGGTCTTCTGGGTGGAAATACTGCTAATGAATTAAGGTAATAAAAGGTGAAGACAACCCCTAGGAGGTTATGTGAAATTTTGTGTGCATAGAGGATGTGTGTGCAACTTTAGTATTGACAGCTCTGGAGTGTGAAGCCATCTGTTCTTCATGCTTAAATACTAGTGTGAAACTAACTGCCTGTCTATGTCTGGATGTCCCCTTTAATCAGCTGCAGTCTCTCTAGGAAGCCAAGCTGTTGGGTTTTCTTTGATGCTGTGAAACAAACGAGGAAGAATCCAGCAAAACCTAAGCTAGCAACACTTGTCACTGCAGAGATGCATCCTTAATCCTGGCCTCTCACCACCGGCATCTGTCTTTCAGCTTCCTGTTCTGTTTGGCTGTCTGAGGCTCAGACTGAATTTAAGAGAGTGGCTGAAGAAAACGTAACTTTGCCCTGTCACCACCGCCTGGGCCTCCTGGAGCAAGGGAGCCTGGATATTGAGTGGCTGCTGCACATTTCGGAAACAGTACAAAAAGCGGTAGGTTCAGCCATCATTAGCATCTGCTGAGAAAATTGTCTTATTTCTATGTTGACATCATTAGCAGCCATTGCTTCAAAGAGACTTCTGTGATGATCTTTGCAAGTTATTCTCATGAAGTAAGCAGTGTTTAGAAAACACAGCTGATTTATTTAGAAATGTTTATAACGTATAGAAGTTATTTGATATTCACACGTGCTGTATTGGAAGAGGTGGTGTGACAATCGAGTTTTCTTTAAAATATCACTGTTATGTAATGAGTCATCATTGGATAAACTTCAGAATTTTGCTCTTCAGGTTTTCAGAAATTACCTTGGGTTTTGTAGGCCCAGGTTTGAAACCTTGGTTTCAGGAAAAAATATAGTAGTTTAGTACTTAGAAAGATCGGGTCCACAGTAACTTAAATTAGCTACCCAAACCCACCCAAAATTAAAGACTGCTTTTATATATTGTGGTATAAGCTGTTCTCTATTTTGACACTAGTATAAATGCTCCAATATAAATCTCTAGCATAAATACGGTTTATGTATCGGTCTCAGACTCAAAATCTGGGTTTAATTTTCCACCCTGCCACAGGTTTCCTGTGTGACCCTTAGCAAGTCGCTTGAGCACGCAGAACCTTAGTCTGTAGTTCCTGGAAATGCTTTGATTTGTTGTTCGGGGTGAAAGTAAAATTACAACTGGCTGATCAGTGACTGTCTCTGCTCCTCAGGTGATCACTTACTCTGGAGGCCGTGTTTATGATGACCTGAATGAGGAACAGAAAGGGCGTGTTTCCTTCACATCCAACTTCCTTGCTGGAGATGCATCCTTGCAAATCATATCCCTGCAGTCCAGTGATGCGGGGAAGTACATATGTAAGGTTAAAAATGCCGGGCAGTATGAATGGGCTCGCATCACCCTGAAGGTTGTAGGTAAGGTCATTTCATTGTTCTTCCAAACAAAAAAAAATAAAATCGCTAGACTAATTTCCTGGAGAGAGATTTATTTCAGCAGTGTATAAATACAAAGACATCTCTCGATCATGTTTCACTGTCCAACTCCGTATCTGCCTTTGCATTTTTTGGCAAAGGACAGGACATAGCAAGAGCCTAAAGAACTGGTTGGAGGTAATTATAATCACCTGCAAAATCATATGAACTGTTCTTTCCAAATTATCTCTATGATCTCATCACACAAACTAGACTGATATTCTAGCCTAGCTGGTGATCGCCCTGTCCAGATCTCCTGCTGAGGCCTCTGGGTTCATGTCCCAGGACCCCAAACTGAACCAAGTTTGTGGAGGTGACAAGTAATCTGCCAGGGTTAGCATTTCTCTTCCCTGATTTCAGTTTTGTTGGTTGGCTTTTGGCATGTATACTGTCATCCCATGGAAGAAGTGCCGTGGCCTGCCAGATGCTGTAGAGAGGAGGAAGAAATGGAGGAGTAGGGGGAGGGAAAGGATGTTCTCTAAATAATACCTAGAAGAGGCGCGCAGCGATACAGCTCCACTGATGCGAGTACCCGTGAGTCAAACTGCCCCAGAGTATTATAGTCTGTTATTTCTGTGTCTGAGCCAGCCAGCTCCACTTCTTAGACTATGAAGTTGCATACAGTTGCAGCTAAAGTCCCCTAACAAACATCACTGGTGTAACTCCTTAATGTATTCCAGAGAAGGCAGCTCTTGGAAGCTGCTTAAATTACATACTTTAACAAGGAAAGGGTTTTTCACTGAGAAAATAGTCTGCTGCATTTGCATGATCTGTCCTCTGTTTCTTCTAGAAAAGCCTTCCAAGCCCAAATGCTGGCTAGAAGGGGAGCTGCTGGAAGGAAAGGAACTGTCCTTGCAGTGCCGTTCTGCCTCTGGCACTGCACCCATCTCCTACCGATGGCAGCGCATAAATGAGGAAGACGAGAGAGCTGAACATCTCCCGCCTACATCAAGAGTCAGTAAGTCAGGTCATTTCCTCTTAGAGCTCCGAGTATGCTCAAAGCCAGATAACCGCCCACGAGTACATGCACATGGACAGTCATGTGCCTGCTTTTTAAACTTGGTGGCAGTGATAGCAATGGTATAACAGTACCTTCTGCAGCTGGAAGTTGTGTGCTCCACCCTGAACAAGGAAGTGCATGAGGAGTTTGTTTAGTGTTTTGCTGAAGGTTGGCAGGTGATCTTTTTTGAGGCATCATTGATTGTTCCTGAACCAATTTGATCCAGAAGTTCAATTTGTGCTTCTGTTTCCTATCCACTGTTAAGGTTTCTTAGTCTTTTTTTTGATTAATCTTGGTGGTGTTTTTCCCGTTTCAGACATTTCTAATCCCGGACAAGTCCTACTGAAAAATCTTACGCAGATGAGCACAGGATTGTACCAATGCATTGCCACCAACGAGGCTGGACAAGAAAGCTGTGTTGTTCAGGTGACAGTGCAGCGTAAGTATTGGCACATAATGAGTATTCACACCACCATATGAGCTTCACAGCTGCCCCCTCTTGACTGGTAAACTCCGTACCACACCTTTACCCTTTCATGCATGAATCATGTGGAGTAGTTCTTACTTATCGCACTTACGGTTTGCACAGCAGTCCTCTGTATGACCTAATGTGGAAAATACATCATTTGGGCTCAGATGTTTTGGTCTGTTAGAAATTTTGATTTTGAGAATGACTAATGAAATATGAGGGAAAGAAACGGTGAGTTGGAGGTTCTAGAGTCTCTAGCTTTTGAGGTAGTTCTGGCTGGAGTGATTGCATGAGATTACTCTCAAGTATAAAATCTTTATGTGGATAGTCCATCATTCCAAATTACTTATCTGTTGCACTTGAGACGGTAAACTATCTGAAGGCAGCTGGAAAGGCTGACTTCTATATGAAGGACTGGGTAGAATAAAAAGCAACTTTTGGCACAGTTTGGTTTTAATCCAGGTTTAATAAATTCTGTCCTTGAACAGAGATTAAAATCAATGTCCTACCTGATTAACCCCATCAAGGGTGTGTGCGAGTCTAGGTATCTGTGCCTTTGTTGTATGCATGCAAGGAGAAGGGCGTTTTTTAGCACCAGCACGGAGAACAAATCCAAACAATACAGTTTAGCAGGTTTTTATGAGCAGCTCTCAGGGGAGATCAGCAGGATCTGTGTGTGATTATCTGCTGTTTTATCTGCTGTGATAAAAGGCTGCTAACAGCAAAGTCTCTTCTATGGAGATTCCATAGCTTTGGAATTTTTCCGCCCAGCCAGGCCTGAAATAACTGCAATATGGTCATGTAGCAAGGAAAACCTGTTTGCCTCAGGCATCTGAAGTAAAAGTGTCCAGGCAGCTTTTATGCCGATTGAACCAAATTGGTTTAAAACCTGTCTTTGGTTTGCTAAACCCTCCGTAGGGACAAGCCTTAAGGAAACAACTTTCAGCCAAACCCAACCTAACCACTCTTATCACGAGAAGTTGTCATAAAGTATCAACACTAAGGGCTCATATACCCTAGGAAGTGTTCTCTCATTAATTTTGTTATTTTGGATGAAAAATGCCTTGCACCTGCACAGTGTGGCCTTCCTTTCCTCCTTCCTCTCTACCCTGCTCAGGTCACTTTTTTCCCCAGTTGAATAATTCATTCTCCAAGTGGACTGTAATCATTTCAGGGTGAGTTAATAGGAAAAAAAAATCCTCATGGGGAAACATTCATACTTCAAACACTCTTCTGTCTGTAGGAAACTGCTTGTTGCTTTGTTTCACATGTGGGTTGTCCTGTCTGTTTCTGTAGTTTCTGTGGTTCTGTGCTTTTATGAGAGGATTTTTCCTCCACATTTCAATTCTGACCCATAGCTGAAGCCATAGCACTTGTGATCCCACCCTTCCAGAGGTGAATACTTTTCTCACTGTTAGCTCAGGTTTAGAAACAATACCTGAAGATAAACTGATTCAACTTCTGTGTGGAGACACGCCTGAATAAGTAGACTAATACTTTCTGTTCTGATTTATATACCTGGTGCTGTAAGTTGTAGTGTGGACTAGAATCTGAGTGAGAGTTTACCCATTCACACTAACGTTTCTGTACAACAGATGCACAAAATATCGGCGTGATTGCTGGAGCGGTTTGTGGTGTGGTGGTGGGACTTTCCCTCCTTTTCGTGGTGGTGAGGCTGACAATAAGGAGGAAAGAAAAGAAGAGATATGAGGAAGAGGAGGCACCAAATGAAATCAGGTAACGCCTTTTATTTAATCCCCCACCTCCTCCCTTCCCTTCTTTCAGTTTCACACATCTTTTCACTACAGTTTTAAGTAACTTAGGTATAAGTGTCGTAAAAGATTGTTCTAAAAAGCTTTTAAAGTCTTCCTGAAACATGAGGGACCAATTTCTTCACTGTGAGAATCATCTTTGTGAAGACTTTCCAGAAAATCAGATAGATGAAAACATCTGGTTTTTTGCCCCAGTACAAATTAGCATACAACTCAAAATATTCTCTCCCAGGCTTGCAACTTCAGTATTTTAAATCATTTGCGTAATCCTCTCCAGTACTAAATTCAACCCACTTGTCCATTGTGGTCCTGAGAGGTTTGGGGTGGGGTTTTTTTTCATTTTGTTTTGGTTTTTTTTTTTTCTTTTCCAATTGCAATTTCTGTTAGGAATGCTACGAGGCAGGCAGGTTTTCACAGTCTTTCTTGAGTCCTTTGAACAACTGCGCTTCTAGATTTAGCTCAGGGTGAAAAGTCCCGTGCGCTGCTGTGTGCAGAGTTGAGAAGCCTCATCCTCAGCGGGTGTACCAAGAATGCTGACGCATGTTCTTTGAACTCATGTTACATGAGTGTGAGGTCTGCCACTTAACTCCCCTAAGCAGAGATTGGTCTCTAGCCAATCAAGCCTAAACTTCTCAGGAAAGGAAAGCACTGGAAAAAGATTATTTCCAGGAATGAGTTTTAGCTGCTCCTGCCCTTGAAGAAAACCCTTGTCTTGTTCCATCCATTTATTTCTATTTGTAAAAGACATCTCTCTACCATTAGGCATCTCTATAAGCCAGTCAGCAGCTGATTACTGTGGCTGGTGGTCAGGTTGCCAGCAATAAGGTAGCCTCTGCTGATTTCTTCCCTTCCCTTTGCTTTCAAATCTTGTATGCCTTTTTATTTTTAGTTCGAGCTTCAGCCTCTTGTATCACCTTTTTACATGACTGTTACCACTTCTCTCTTTCTCTGGGCCCAGTTCTTGCACTTCTTTCACTACCCATGTTGTTTGGTTTGTTTTTTAACTAGAAGAACTGGTCTCGGCTAGTCCTGTCTAGGTGATTTGTCATTATGAGTAAGGATTACAGAGCAGACAGTTCTATCTGAATTGTTTGTACTGACACTTGGCATTCATTCCACAGACCTCAAAGCCGCACACAAAGAGGCAGTCGTGTGCAGCATGTATTCTAAATCCATTTGAGCAGTAGCTCTGCAGACCAACAGGGAGTTCAGTCCACAAAGTTACTTAGCGCAGAATTCAGAAAACCCTGTACCTTGCTCAAACTGCTGGACAAATCTGCCCTGGTGATTTGCAGCTTCAATAAGCAACTGCTTATTGCAGCAGCAATTCAGTCTGGTAAAATGTATAAGCGTTTCTGTTCTTGTGGTATTTGAGACCTGCCATCTGTTTGATTGCAGAGAAGATGCAGAGGCACCCAAGGCCCATCTCGTCAAGCCCAGTTCCTCTTCCTCTGGTTCTAGGAGCTCGCGCTCAGGTTCTTCCTCCACCAGGTCGACAGCCAACAGTGCCTCTCGCAGCCAACGGACTTTGTCAACGGAAGCTACTCCCCATCTAACTCCTCCCCAGTACAGCCAGAGGGAGACGGAAGGAAAAGAAATTGAGCCAAAGAAAGTCGACTACACTAACCTGATGAAAATGGGAGCGACGCTGGTCATGGTGCCTGCCCAAAGCCGAGCGTTCCAGACAGTGTGACTGCTCACCAGCCGCCTGGAGACTCCTTGCTGTCCAGAAACACTTCACGTACCACCAGTCACATAAGAATTGTTAGATTAGTTATCTTCCTGGTCAGCTTAATTTTAATCACTTGTGATTATTCACACCACAAGAAGCCCTCCCACTCAACTCTTTCTTACATCTTCCAGCACTGAGGTTCTGATACAGAATTATTTTTTTTTTTTTTTAGAGAGATACATTTGAGGGAAAAGGGAGCCTTCTTTTTAAATTATCTTTTTTTTGGAAATGGAACACCGAGCATTTTAGAACTACAACAGCTGAGCGCTGTACATATGAAATGAAGCCAAACCTCAGGATTTTTTAAAAGGGATCAACAGAGACATAAAGACACATAATATTCCAGAGAGGTTTTGTGGGGAGGGAAAAGTCTCTTGTTGTGGAGGACTTTCTCAAAGATGCATTGTCTTATCTGAAGATTTTGAGGCAGACTCCCTGCTGAGGGTGTCTGGTGTTCAACCTCAAAGGGGACTGACAGATGTTTCACATTTTCTGCATTCAGTCTTCTAGTGAAATACTTTCAGAGGCTGTTACTAAAGTGGAAATGAAAGGATCTCACAAAAAAGCCAAGAGATGCTGTATTAAGGCATGTGTCTGAGGTAGCCTCTGTATTAAAGAGAAAGGACCCTTTATGTCGAGGAAACAGAGGTGCTTTAACTGTCAGAATAAATCTAATGGTGCACCCAGAGAGATACGGCCAGGAGCCTGACTCTGCTTCTATGGACAGCACTGCAAAGCCACAGTAGCTCCACTGGAGTGGTATCTGTGGCAAATGAGCCTTAGTGTGATGAGAATTGGGTACTGAACCCAGAATGAAGGCAATACCTCAAAAAGTGAGGGCCACCAATCAACCAAAAAGCCTGGACGAAGCATTTGGAAGATATCTTTGCTATCGCCAGGTTGTGAATTCACCAGTTTTGGGGTAAGCCATGCTGTAGAAGCCTTATGGAGAGCTCTTCCCAAGACTGAACAAACAGCATTCTTGAGCTGACCTTCAGGCATCCAGGTAAGACTGAAGGATAGAGAGACAGAGCACATAGTGAGGAAAATACACCAGGGACAGGTAAACAAGCACAATGCTGCTTCCATTAGAAAATATTTATGTGCAATGTCCCATTTATACACCAAATGCTGGGCCACGTGCTATTGTTGAGACTTAAACCTTAGCACAACTCTTAAAATATTGCAAGAATCGTAAGATTTCTTTTTCTGTGATTAAATTAGCCAGAATAAATGTTTCCAAGGAATATAAAGTCTTACGCTTCAAGGTGAAGGCTAATAGGAAACGATGGGAGGTAGGGACAGGCTTCCTCTGGAGGCAGATCTGTCATTTGTATTTTCCTCTAAAGGACTTGGCTCTGACAAGTCTCTCTACACTCTACACTGAGCTTTGTAGGTTCTAGGTCCTGTATTCCTGAACTGATGATTTTCCATTTAAAATATAAGGGTTTTTTTTTTCATTTGAGGGAGGGAAGGTTTTCGCCAATTTATGGAATGAGTCTACAGGAGATGGATCAGCACAGAACCACAGATCTATAATTCTTTCATTTCAGGGACTGTCATTAATCTCCTTTTCTGACTGAGACCCGGAATTCTGGCTGCTTTGCTGGAGATCTTAGACAACCTGACCAAAGCCAAGCCCTGCTTGGGCTACTTCCTTATGGGAAATAGTTTTCAAACTTGCCCTGTACTATCTGAGAACTTCTCTTCCTAGGAGCAGTCACCCATTTACATCACATGTACCAAAATTTCACTTGCTTTCTGTACCTCAGAGTCAATCTAGCCACCCTTGGCAGGACCAAGTACTGATCTGTTGTGCAGGGAAGGCAGTCTTGAGTCACAGATACAAGCAAATGAGACATCTGATATTAGGTGTTTGATAAGTTTCTACTTTTGTGACAGCTCCTAGTGGTGGGTACTGTGTCATTTTGCCTAGACAGTTTCCACGGATTCCTGGGTCAGCTATGTTTTGATGGATTTGGTAGTGGCTGTCAGTGCTTGGAAGCAGCAGCGGCAAGTGTCTGTGATTGCTCCGCAGTTACTCTTTTCCTGGACCCTGAAGGCTTTAGGCACTCCAAAGTGCTTACTAGTTACTCCAGAGCCGGGAAAGTCCCAGAGAGCGTGAGCTGGACTGCCAAAGTAGTTTGTGGCTTCTTCTATGGTTGCTTGTTGTGCTTAAAGTTACCTGTGTTGCATCTGAGGACACTTACTCTATGCATACAAAACCAGTAAAGAATACATGCCTGAGCAACCAGAAGCTTATTACCACAAAATAAGGGTAACAATTCAAACAGTTGAGCTGGCTACAGTCTGAATACCAAATGCTGTAGGTTAGTGTTGAGTCACAGGCCAGACTTGCAATTAGCAGTGGAGGATGCTCTGTCTACAGCCTAGAGGCCGCTCGCTGCCGGCTAGGAGAATTTGCCCAGCCTGCTCCTGGCAGTCTCTTTCCTGGAGGCCTTTGGGAAGAGGCCTCAGGACAGATCCTGGTCTCCAACTCTCCTGGAGCAGAGAAGTCACTGCTTGTCATAAGAGCCATCTGTCTGATTGCGTGGGATGAAAGGTTTATGGACCCTGGGGAAGGGAAGTTAGTCGGAAGCAATTGCTGAAGCCTGGTGTGTGCGATCATTCCCGGCTGTTCCTAGCCCTCTCGGGAAGCAGGTGGTAGGTGTGCCCGCTGCCGGGGCATGTGCAGACTGCCCAGTATACGAACCATGTCAGAAAAAGCACTGTGGCCCTCTCCTGCCATGGAACAAAGACGCAAATGTGTATGGCCCTGGTTAGATAGTGCAGGCACCACGCTGATTTAAAATCACCAAGTCTGAAACGCTGCGGTACTTTTCAGACCACACATCAGTGATCTCACAGGTGACCACAAAGTCAATTTTGCACTTCAGTTGCTAGCATGAAGCCCAAAGGGAAACGTTCATTACTCAAGGGAAATACAAGAGATCGTTTCAAAGGTATTTTATTTTCAAAGGGACATTTTCTGAGCTCTGGATGATACTATCAGGAGTTGCACAAGGGAAGCAAATGAACCATAAGCCAAACTCTTATTTTGTAAGATAGTGTACTTAAAGCATTTACTGTCATATACCAGTTATTACTAGTGTGATTAAATGCATACAATGTTATGTAGCTTTCTTTTCTTTCTCAGTAGCTAAACTAAGCTTACATCTCTTCTACCTGCTATAATTGGTGTACTTGTACTGTGTCTGAACAACTCAGAGGAAAGCAAATATTTATTATTGATTCCTTTGAATCAATGATTTCATAATTTTTTTTTTGTTGGTTGTTTTATAAATAAATGTGCTGCAGCTGAAGTGTTGCAGCTCAACTAAACTTGTACTAATGCTCCATCTTCTGTGGTATGATGTGTTACATGCTGTCAAGCTGAATCAAACGGAAAAAAGTACAGAGTCAAAAATACCATTTTTAAGCTAACGAGGACTATGTGCATATTTGCATAGAAAGTGTGGGGAAGCTGGTCTTTTTCCTGTTTTCTTTTTTTTTCCCCCCAATCTAAATTATGTGACATAGTATGAAATCTGTGAAACCTTGGGTGTATTGAAGTAAATGGTGTTTTGACTTCCACGCAGCTATTTCACCTGGGATATTTTGGCTGAGGATGTAGATGCTTCAAGCTAATATGATAAATAGCGCCAGCACAGACACAGCACAGATACAAACCTCCAGTGATGCTGCTCTCCCACTCCCACATCTGCGACCTTACTTGTGAACCGCCCGGTGCGTTTCAGTTCATCTCGTGAACTGGGCGTGAGATGACAATGAAACCTTGAACGACTAAGAGCTGTGTTCAGACAGTTTAGATGTTCTCTGCAGATAAACATTTTGAACCAGCTAACAGGAATCTCCGGTCAGGGAGATGTAGGTGGAATTTAAGGTAACTAAACATAACTGTGGTTGATTTCTCTTGCAGTGCTTCAGCCTTCTTTCCCTGAGGGTGTTTTGCGTGGAGGTCTCCCAACATCAGCAATCTTCTTTACTGAAATCTGGGAGTAAAAATTGCAACATAATTACACAGTATTTAAAACAAAACACAGTGACAACACAGTGGTCTCATAGGTGTGTCCTGTCTATCCCTGATTCATGAGGAAATGCTATTACTGGCTCCCTCCTGAGTTGATGACATCCAAAATCCTGATTAGGCGATACACATTTTGAGAGGGTTTGTGCAATTGCATACTTTTGTACAGTATCAGGAATCTTGGGTTATTTTTAACCCGGATCAGTTTGTACTGACACACTAAAGGGGGAGAACACGGTGGGAAAGGGAAGGGATGGCCTTGGAAATGAATGATTTTCAAACTTCAACTGGGGTGTGCAGCTGCAAGTGTTGTATAAATAACAAATGCTGCTGTTGGGAATAAGAAGCTGTCTTTGATAATCTCCACTCTCTTCCCAATTCTGTTTTAAATGCTTAAAGGAGAAGCAGTGCTTGATCTCTAATGTACTAGACGGGCTTCAAAAAATAATGTTGGTATTCATAATTTGAAAAAAATCCGCACAGAATACTTGTCAGTGTCCTGCCTGCTGAGCCTTATTTTTCCTGATACAGTAAATGAACTACTTTTGTCCAGTATGTTAACAGCCGTCAATTTCTACTGTAATGAGTCATTTACCAAACTGCCCTCCTCCCTGCACTGACTCACTGTTGCTTTAGGCTGCCTTCGCTTGCTATCAGTCTGCTGTATGAAGTATGGTTTGCACATCTAAATGCCACTATTTAATTTCAAGGTGCAGCTACTGCTATTCTTAGATCCTACTGAAATTCTGCCCATGATTTACAAAAACAAAACAAAACAAAACAAAAAAGCAAAGGCAATCCCTTGCTAACAGCACAGCTCCCGTGAGAACTGGTGTGATGTATTCAGTGCGAGTTAGCACTGCGTGCCTGAGAAGCATCTCCTGTGCATCCTGGGAGATGAGCGCTCCAGCAG